GTTACCTATGTTTCAGTTTTTTTTATTGTGCAAGTACACTTACACACAATGACCTACAGTGTAGTTTTATTGTATAGTGCGTTGGTACAGTTACATACACACACAGCTACACATACACACCTACACATACCCACACACCTACACACACACACAGCTACACTTACACATACCCACACACACACCTACACACACACACCTACACTTACACACACCTACACACACTCGCACACCATTTAAAAAAAAAAAAATTTGGGATTTTTTTTGGGTGGAATGAATACCTATAGTGATGATTCAATGTAATACAATGATTTGTATATCTGGTACCTGGAAAAAGGTCAAATGGCACTGATGGAACCAGATGCACCCAAATGTGCCCAAAGCTTATTCCGCCTGGACTTTATTTACATAAACCTCTCTAAAAAGGTCAAATTTCACTTGTTTTGCCTCCATCTTGATACAGGGTACTTATTATATGTTATACTTAGGATTCCTAAAGCTTTTAGGCTACTAACCCATCATTCAAGGTTGGTCTTCACTATAAGTAATGGGTTTTCTTTAGGCGGAGATAGGAATTTACATTTTTTTGCTATGTTCCAACTGAATTTACTCTGACACAGAAAAATCTATATTGATTCTGACACTTCTACATCCAACTCACAGATGTAACCTTGCTTTGATAACAACAATTATTCATATAAACCTTTTAGAAGTGAAGTTATAGTCATTTGTTCTGGGCATGTCATTTTCGAGCCTGAAACCTGAAAAACAGGCTTGGGGTTTAACAGGTTAATAAACTAAGGATTCCTGTGAGGGCTTCTTGTATTTTTACATCATTATCCAAGTTTACAATTAAATGTACATCATTTATTTGGTTTCATCCATAGTACTATAATTTCTTTTGGTGAGGAGTTTTAATATATTTCCCCCCTGTGATACAAATGACTTGAAATATTATAAGGTTTTTCATTTCGGTCATGGGTAACATCCAGTAACATCCCAAACACACTTTTTTCCTCCAGCAGGAGTCACCAAGTGTTGGCTCCTTCAGGTCAGAGTTTTGGGTTTTTTCGCTCAGCAGAGCATGGGCGTGGGGTGGTAAGTGCCACCCTAAAAATAGGCCCTACCACCCCAGTTGGCAACTTTGTTTTGAAAGTTGTGGCTCATTGGACATTTATGAGAGAAAATCCCTAATGTCCGAGTGTAAGTGAATGCAGCACAAGACACGAGTCCACTGGCCCTGGCACGAGCGTGGAAATGTGGCGGCGATTTCATTTGAACGGGACGGCGCTAAAGGAGAAGCATTCGGACCCAAGTAGACGGAAGGAATGAGGTATTTGCGGTCTATAATGACAGAGAAGAGACTAGTCAAGTTTGGCTGTAATCAGCATTGAATCAAAACGCACTAAAGCTTTAGATCTTGATACGTTTGTGAGGCGTTTTGCTGAACAACATGGTAATCGCCGCATTCAGCTGTAATAGGCATGCCAACTTGATGCTCTGCTCACGGATGACTCGATGAGCATAACAAACTGTTAAGATTATGACCTCACCTGTGTAAATATATATTTTTCTTTGTGGAGGTCTGCCCCCAAAAACAGTTTTAAATCCTGAGAAAGTCAAATAAGACGGTGTGTAAAACTACACTGCACAGCCAAAAAAAAGTAACCACATTAATTTAACTTGGCCAGTAGGTAAGGGTATTCCACTGGATAATAACTGTAAAGGAAACTTCTGTGTAGCTATGCAGTGGGAGTCACCGACTCAGGAAGGAGACACGGTAGGAGCAGTAGCTTTGATGTCAAAACACTGATGATTTATTGGAATTTCGGCCGGAGCATTCACATCACAAATCACAGCAGTCCCGGTCAACCTGATCTCACCAGAATGCGCGACTCCACCACGCAACCTTAACACCGCATTGCGTGGTGGAGTCACGCATTCTGTTACATTTGCTTGTCGGCACCACGCAAAAAACCCCAATGTAAAGTGAATGAGGCTCTTTTGTCGTGGTGCACACACGCATTTCTACGACGTCCCGCAGTGAGCTTTTATTCTATAAAACGTTTTTAAAATCTACTTTATAGCTTGTAGTAACTCACGTGAGGCTTCTTTTATTTGATTTGTATTCATAATAATTTTTATTTTTCGTCAGAATGTATTATGGTGCATTATTTATCAATTTCTGTTCTCAAAAAACAGTGCATTGTGTGTAATACAACTGTGATTTTTATTAAATTACTTAGTTTTTAAGGAAGGCCAGAGCTTCAGCTGTGTCAAATAGATTGTTCCCTTTAGTTTACGTTATTTAAAAGACAATTATATTCCTATTTGATCAATAAAGGGGTATTGTAGGCCAATATTAGTCATTTAAAACATATACAATGATGATAATGATGGTGAAAACCACTCCCCCCACTGGCTACTGACTGTATTTGAAATGCTTTTTGTTTAATAGTAATAATAATCATTTTTATTATAACAACAATAAACCAGAAGAAGATTCCGTAGTTACCCCGGCAACGTTACGTCGCGCTTTACGTTAACGTGACGTAGCCACATTACCCACAATCACCTCACTTTCATTAATTTCATCCGATTTAATCTGACAACGGACAACAGTAAGTATCTAAAATCAAGGGGTGTTTATTTCTTTAAAACACGAAATAATATTGCTTTTATTTATTCCACTGTAGCACAGTCTCTATAGCGTTTCATTCCTGGATATTAGTTTGAGTTTTGTAGTGTGTTTAGCTTTTACAATAGGCCAACTAGCGGCCACGTTCAGCTAGCCTCCGGCCTTCCGGTCAACGTTTTGAGCTGGATAGCATTTATAGTTTATACAGCTAAATTACATTAGCTGTCACCGGCACAGTTGGATAGTGGAGGTGCGTGCTAGAAAAATATGTTTACATTTATGTATTTGCACATGTGTTGTAAAGACAGTGTTCAACACAGTTTTAATAGTGGCTAATGCATCGGCTATGGAGTGGAACAAAAATGTGGAACTGGAGTTTTTCCAGAGGATTTGACTGGCCACCCAATGTCCCACTCTGAATCAGAAATACTTCATTGATCTCCGGGGGAAATTGGGATTGTTACATTGTAGAATTTAAATATATAGTAGAAGATATAAGAAAAACAAGTGCATAATATAACAATATGCACAGTATAAATGCATAATGTATGCCAGAGTATTGCTCAGATTAATTAGTATTGCATATAGACTAATGCACAGATTAATTATTATTGCATAGAGTATTACACAGATGTTACTGTTATTCGACATAATCCTAATCATATTTTTCTTTTTTTCTGTTTTACAGCTTAATTACAACACTTAATATCACCAACACACACATATCCACACACACACACACACACACACACACACACACACACACACACATATAAAACCAACGGCACTTTTAAGAGCCACTCTTTCTCTCACTGTCTCTCTTTCTATCACTCTCTCACTTTCTCTGTTAATCACTCTCCTGTCTTTCTCTCACTCTTCATTTTGTGTATTGTTTGTATTATTTGTATGCCATGTCCCTCAACCCTGAAGTGAGGGTCTTTGAGGATCTCAATGAGGCCACGGTGCACATGGCATCATTGATTAGCGAGGCTCATCTCCTTGAGGCCAGGGTGAGGCTTTTCATGATAAGCAAATACCCAAGTCTGTAATATAATCATTGCTATTGCTTTTTATTGATGTAATGTAAAGGGACAGTTAGTCCCTTTTATGCAACCGTTAAATAATTGCTCAAATATAAGTGCTGCTGTCTTATGTTGTATTACAACTTTGTTGTTGATCTCAACCTCTGAAAAAATATAGACTGCCATGGCCACGGAAACCCCTGCCATCCCTCCGGAAAAGAAAAGAAAAAGCAGGAAGAGACCTCTTTCTAATCCAGTGGTCACACGCAGACGTGAGAGACAACGGGAAACACAACGCCCCGCATCAGGTTAGTTCTTTACTATATCATGATTTCTAAGTCTAAGAATAAAGATAATTCATAACAAAGTTATTTTGGTGTACACAGTATGAAATTATGTAATTTAAAGATACCTCTTGACAAATCTGTTGCAATGTTTAAAACATTTCCAAATGAAATCAAGATATTTTAAGAGCCTGTGATGATAATCCTTGCCTGTGTTGTATTTTTTAAAATGTGTACCTCGATTTGGATAAAAGTATGCCAAATGTAAATTGTCATTGTGATGCTGTGGTAATAAGTTCTTAGTTTCATTACCTACAGTCCTTACAGAGCATTTTCATATTACAATGAATTGGTGTCATTTTAGATTGATTGAAGGGTTAAGCAAAAATGACTGTCTCTGCAGCTTCACAAGCCAGAAGAGACGATCCTGTGCATGAGGAAGGCCTTCAGCTAGAACATCAAGAGTTTGGTAGTCTTGGTGAGTATATTGATTATAACAGCAGTTGACTGGCACTACAGTTTTTCCCCAATGTTTCCATTTTTATACTCATCTAGCTAATCATAATAAAGTATTGAGTATTGACTGTTTCATGACAAGTGAATGCATATTTGGTATAAGTATCACTTGCTAATATTGCTTTGGATGCATATGATGATTCATAGCATGTTGCTATTATTAGTCTGCATATATTTTTCCAACTCAAAAGTGGTTCAGTATACTACCTTAATATCCATCATACCAGTTTTAGGGTGGCGGCTTAACAGCTGTTTTATTTTTTAGAAACTCATCTTTAAGAGTTAAGGGACACCCTAACTGCAGTACAGGTTCCGGAGGCAACAGACGGAACGGTTTCTGCCTGGGCACAAAGGCAGCTTCTCACAGATGTGAGAATGAAAACGGCTAGGCCAATGCTTTTTAATGCAAAACTCTCAGCTGAGAGAATAGCCATTCAGAAGTGCCACAGATGCTGTGCAGAAGAAGCGGCTATTAGGTGCCTGGACTGTGTTCCACTGGACATGGAGTTCCTCTGTGCAACCTGTGACATGGAGGAATATCACAAGAGGAATATCTTCCATGACAGAGAGGCTGTGTTCGATGGATTTCTGGAGCCCATTCCCCCTACAACTGCTGTGGTGGTGGATGAAAATGGCCAGCCTCAGTTTTGTGAACAAAGTATGTAAAGGTTAACATTACATTACAATGTCCCATTATAATGTAGTTCCCAAAATTAAGTGCGAATGGGAAGTGTACATAGCTGATTGAAAAAAGTATGATTGGTTTTGACTAGGGCTGCAAGATATGTGGAAAGTTATGCAACATTTTATTGAATATCTTTATAATCTGGAGAATTAAGGAAAAACTGTAAATACACCCTTCCTAATTTATTTTCTATATTGCAGTATGTCAACTGCCTGTTCCTACTCCAAGGTCAATCTGTGAATGCTCTGATGACGTCACAGTGACTCCTTGGAAGCATATTTCTGTGGTCACCATCAACGGTATGTTGTTCTGAAAGCCCTTCTTTTTGTACAAGTAGTATTGTACGGCAGAGTTTTACCACTTTGTGCAATGCAAAGATTTGTATCACCTGGTCATTTTCAGACAACACCCAAATGCCATGTCAAATAGCTAATATATCATATATGCACATCTATGTATAAAATCCAATATTTTAAGGCAAACTCACAGTTTAATTACCGAAATACCTTTACTTTTTCCATTTGTTCACAGGACGATACAATGTCTGCTTGCCTCGGAAATCCTGTCCATCCTGCTCTGCAGAATGGACTCCTGAGGTTAAAGACCTGCTTTTGTATCGGTACTGGCCAGCTAGCACCAGCTGCCAGACGCTTTAGAAATATGATGTGTTCACCTTATTCGAGCACATGATGGTGACAGCACCAGCCATGTCCAGGCAGGCATTTCTGAAAATGTTGGAGCACAGATCTGTTCAAGCTGGACGGGTAAATCTGCCTGAATCACACGGAAACATACAACAAACAATATCATATTACTGTATACCATATCATAAATTGTTGGCATTGCTTTCAAAACAATTACTAATCTACTTTTTTTAAATCAATATACAGACAGGTATTATCTGTGCTGATACATTTCAGCGAAGCTTCTTCGAGTTTTGCTTCTGTCAGTACAAACAAGAGGATATGTGCCAGGTCCATCACTTTGTTTGTCCAGCATGTTCTCCAGACATGTAGCCTGGCTGTCTGCTGTGATGGAAACGGCAAGCATTACCGCTTTTCCAAGTCAAAAGGGTATGTATAGGTATTATTGAAAATGATAAAGAACACACCGCTAATACAAATAGTAGCCCTTGGGGTTGTGTTTGAGTAGCCATAACAGACATTAAAACAAATCATAGTAATGTAGTGCTTTGTGATTTTTATTATTGACTTGTATGTTAACTTATCATGGACAGGACTGAGGAGCCGCCAATCTATGAGGGCTTGTTCCTGGCCATGGATGAGGAAGTCGCAACATTTGTTGACCTTGTCAGAGGCAACATGAAAAGTGTACGTTTTTTTTCTTATTATGATAGTTGCAGTTACACCTGTGGTGTTCTTTTTTATATATGTCAAAACTTGTGTGTAATAAACTGACTTTATAAGGGAAATGACAGTGCCGTCTGTGGTACTGCCAAATTCACCGCTGGCAGAGAGATGTCAAAAAAGTCTGGTGCCCAGATAGACGAGGAGGGCATTCAAGTGGCAGTTTGCAGGTATGTATTTGTAAGTGTGTCTGTGTGTGTATATGTGTTTGGTTCTTGAGTCTGGTCTCATTATTTCAGTTTTAATAGCAATCCAAGTCTAAGTCTTTGTAAGAATTGGAAGCATTAAACACTTTTGATTGTGGAGCGGAATTGATCCATCCTTTGTAGCATCCAAGTGATATTTGTTGTTATAGCCACCTAGATGACAGAGATGAGTGCTTAAGCCAGGCCTTGCTGTGTCAGTTTATTATTAACAACTAGATTTTCTTCTGATTAATCAGACATGGGTTTCTCTTACGAGGACTGAACCACTTCCGTGGAGAAATATACGCGTACCCAATGTTTCTCCAAAAAGAGATGTCCATGAAGGCAAATGTTGACTTCTTCTGTATGGATGTAACATGCAGGTAATCCTCACTGTCATATTGCACATCCACAACAATGTTTAAAATGGCCTATGCCTCAGCAGTCATTTTAGATGATATTGATATTGTTGTCATGTCAATTAAAAGTTTATCTTTGTAACACTCAATCACAAAATGCTGCTCCTGCTTCTTAGGTACTGGCCATACCTTAATAAAATAGCCGAGGGATTACCAGAGCTTCTGCCGTTGACAGAAATGAGGCCATTTCTTAGCGTGATGCATGCTAAAGCCCATACAGCAAAATGCGAGGTACATAACATCTTTAATGCAAAGGATTTTTAATGTTGTGCATGGCATGCCTTATTGGATATCAAAAACGTTGCTATATAACACTATTTGCGCTGTGTTGCAGGTGAGATGGGGTGGCAGAAGTCAGGACGGGGCAGGAAACACAGTGGGAGAGGAAGTAGAGCAGGTATGTTATTAATGGCATTATTATAACTGTATGGATACAAGAGGTCTTAATAGAAAGCAGTACAAATATGTATGTGTCATCTCAGTGACAAGCCTGTTGATTAGTTTAAAGCATATCCTTTATGTCTGAGTTCAAATGAAAGATAGGCAGCTCATATGTTCAGCAACAATACATGCATGCACATTGTAGGAAGTCAGTACACAAGTTTTCTCTTAAACCATCCAGTTCAAGATCTATGATGTGTAGGTAATATTGTTATGTAATGGTGACCGAACATTAATTGTAACATTCATTATAGGTGAACAGCTTTCTCTCCAGGGCAGCGCTGGTCACAAAATACATGACAAAATCAGGTTGGTATTAACACTACACACTGTGATAAGGCAGCCCTGATAAGTATTTTACAGAGAGTTCCCTCCGTAAAAACATTATTGGTGTATTACCAGTTCAACAACCTTTTAACGATTGGGTTTAGTCATGTCTATCAGGTTTCTCACTCAGTATTGCCTTTTTGATGTGAATACTTACTTTTTTGTTTGTGGATATATTTTTGTGTTTTTTAGGAAGAGTGAACATGCTTACTCAACAGGCCATGGGATGGAACAGAAGGAAGAGGGACAACCTTCATCAAGTTTTAGCACACAGATATGTCAAAGTAAGGGCAAATTACAATTGTCTTCTCATCTGACATTACATATGAAGGATGTCTGCAATGTAACCTCATGGCTATATACATTATGTTCTCCCTTATCCACACTTCCTCTTGCAAGTCAGATGGTGTCATGGAATGTTTCAACTGTTCTTCTGAAGGTCTTGTACTGAAAACTGGTGTTCTTTGCATTATGGTGTTGCATGGCGCTTTTGCTCTGACATTTTCTTTTTTTTGTAAAGATCACAGAGAGGGCAAAGGTGGAAGCTGCCAGCTTCAGCGACTTCAAAAAGGAGCACAACCTTGATCAGGAGACCATACAGCAGTGGGTGTATGATGTCAGGCAATGGGCGGTCACAGGTAAGACATACCACAGGTTTTCCATATATACATCTGTTAATTACTGTAAGTTTAGACATACAATATAAGTTGGCTATATGTTGAAACTGAGACTGTCACTGATTGTATCTCTTCTCCAATTGTTTTATTGCAACTATTTAGAGAGAGTTTACGCCCCAGGGTGTACTGAAGGACTAAGGGTGGATATTGAGAACATCACCGTCACTCTTTTGCGCAGGAAGCAAGATCTGTATCGTCAGCATGGTTTGTTGTCAAACGTAGTTATTGAAATTACACTTCAAAAACAGCAAAAACATTCTGGCACCATGACACATTTTTGTTTCCGTTTCACTTTGCAGACAGCAACCAGGCAAGGCAAAGAAAGAGGAAGAGAATGAGAGAGCTGAAAAAGAAGCTTCGCGAAAAAGTTGTGCAATACAACACCGGAGTGCAGGAAGAACAGATTGACGAGGAGTTGGCTTGCAGTCTGACAGAGGGCTACACCCTACCATGGGAGAGGCATGCAAATGGTAGGGTAATTGCTAGTTTGGCTTGTTGTTTTTTTAGTCCATACCAAAATATTACAGTTTATCATGGGGCAGAAAAAGCAATGGTGATACCTGCAAATATATAATATTTGTTATTAGTTTACATTATAGAGAACCAATGCTATCGCTACAAAGATTTGTGTCTCAGAAATGAAAATCATTCTGTAATAATATAATTTATGAATAAATATTCCTTGTCTACTACTCCATTCCTTTCCTCAACCTAAAGGCAACACCTTCAGGTTGAAGAGGTCTGTCTTTGAGCAGGTAATGCTGGTCAGACGTTTGGAGGAGGAGCAGAGCATCCTGGTGAAAGAGATGTCGCAGCACATCATGTTCCTTCTGAAGGAAGTGCAAGAAGTGGAAGCACTGAGAGGACAGACTTTGGAGGGCATCAAAACCAGCAGTATGTCTGAGATCTTAACATTTGAATATTTTCATCCACTCTTCAACACATTGCATGTCTTACATAAGTAGAACACATCTGTCACTGTGTCAGGCCGAAGTGAAATAGTAAATTACTGAAACTATTCATCATCAAGATCATAATCGATTATTTTCTGTCTATTGACTAATTGTCAAGCACTATATCAAACATTAATCAACATATCCCATTTGGCACCCAATATATACTAACATCCTTCAGTTTAAGATGGATTTACCTACTTTGTAGTGTTTTTACATATGCAGCATTGTACAATGCAAAGAGATTTGCAATTGTCATGGTTTGTTTACATTGAGCCCTTTTTCTGTGTGGTTATTCCTATATATACAGATTTCGGTGACCTGACAGAGGATGCTGCACATGGGCTCAAGAGTGTCCTCAGTCGGAGGTGGCACTGCCTCAAAAGCCAACACAAACAGGCTGTACATGCGTACAGCGGTGTAGCCGCTTTGGAATGCCATGATCTTCAATTACAGCAGGACATTGAGGAGTCGGATGACAATGACTACACTAGCCCTGAGTCTGAGGAAGAAGACCTTGTAAAGGTTTCTGCCAAGCAACACAGAGGCACTGGAGAGCTCTTTCACAAGGGAAGTGTCACGTCCACACGCTGGCGCACGCCATAATAAAGGCCTACAAAATAAAGACATTTTAAAACACTATATATGAGAACAATATGAAACTATGCACTTGTTTCGCCCGACTGAGTTCATAATAATGTGAAAATGTGTTTATATTTTGTACTTCCGTTTATTTAAAGCGCTTTGACTTGCTGATGTGTATGAAAATAAATTGCCTTGCCTTTATATTAAACTGCCTCTTATTACTCAAACAAGTGCTATACAATGGTTGTTTTCTTGTCACTGCATTTTGTCATTCGTTGATTATGAACTATTTACAATGTGAATACATTGTAAATACATACAATACAATAACATAATTCTTTATTAGTAACGTGCATAATGCAGGGTAAATACCAACACATTCTCACTCCCAACTCGTACTTCTAATTTTGTATTATTTTCTAAACCACACACTGTTATTTACTCAACAATAACACACAATTATTCTTGTGTTTATTTGTTTGATTGTATAATGTCGGACTTTTGGAGTCCATCAGGACCGAGGGTCGGAGCAGCTCATAGTAGTTGCTTTAGAGAATGTTACACCCGGAAGTAAGTATTCTCTCTTCTTTGCTTGACAAACCCCGTGATAGTCCTCAAGCTCTGTGATTGGATATTGGAGTGGCAGTGCGCAGAGCGTCCAACAGCACTTTGAAATGGAATGGAACCACGACAGACTGTCCAAAACTGGAGTCGGACGGGTCCACCCCCTCCCCCACCCCGTCACCAGAACTACACGTGCTGGCTATTGTGTGTTTCGCACATAGGTTTCGCATGTTCTATGGCACGTCTCTACTGGGAATTGTAGTTTTAAAAGACGTTTTCGTATTTCCCATAATAAGAAGTTGTCAGTATTAAACTGTGTACATCCCTGGAGGTTTAGGGGATACGAAACACATGTGTTTCACATTTAAAACATATAATTAATAAATGGGTGAAAATTGCTTGTGTCCATAATGGGCAGCATTACCCACATGACAGCTAAGGTCAGAAGATCTTTATTTAACAGCTGGTCTTATGTCTGTGACCCCTCCTGTTGTTCATTGATGAGCCTGAAACATGCTATTGTCAAGGTTCAGAGGCACATTTTGCAAATATGGCAAAAGCCATCGATCATCTTAAGATAAGATATACTTTATTGATCACAAGCGGGGCCATTTTTTCGTTACAGCAGCATGTGTAACAGTTGGAAATATGCAGTGGTGTTTATTTAGAAATCATTTAGTATAATCACACAAATTCTATGTTTTATATTTAATAATTCTCTGTTCCTCATTTATTGGATGTTCAATACCTGACAAGGTCGGAGATTAAAAAGGTCAGAGATTAAAAACTTTGGTCGCAGGTTCCTCAACAGTGCATTACAAGACATCTATCGATATGTGTGTATACCTCCACCATTAAACTGTCATATTCTGCACATTTCTTATACTATCTAGATACATCTTATAAGAGTATACTACATATGTATAATATCAGTTCAAATAAGTGCTTCAACTTAGTTAACATTGCAGGAAAGTTGATTGTCAAGTTCCAAAACAAACTATGCAATATATTAAACGTTAAGCACTTTGTCAGACTTAATATTGGTCTGTAGATACCCCCAAAGCTTTTTTCTTATTTAAAAGAAGACCTTAACTTAAAGTAATCTTTAATGTTAAAAAGAAGCCTATTTAGTTTGTCTGTTTTGCACATCCTCCTATTAATATCTTTGGACGTCCGGCACTAAACTGTTTTATTGTAGAGATCACAACAGTATCTTCTTGATATTTTCATCTATATTTATATGATTGACCTTCTACTTTCCCCCTATGTATGTACTCTTAATATTTGTATGTTTCATGAAATATAACATAATTCAACAAACAAATTCAATAACGTGCTTTAACCACTAGGCGGTACGGGTTAAAAAAAACTTTAAAGTGTTAACAAGACAAATTATACTGCTGTTTCCAGTTTAGTTTATGATGGATGTATTTTGTTATCGACACATATATTGTTTTGATATTTGTGACACAAATCTTCGGAAAAAGTGTGTTTGGTATCTGAAATAAATTAGGGTGATGCAGGTAGCGGAGAGTGGTCCGGCTCCGTTTCCACGGCAACGGTGGCTGAGGATCATGGGTAATCTAGCCTTCCGCTGTCCAAAAAGACCACAAAAAAACGAGTAAAAAACCTTTGAAGCCCCTGTACTGATATTTAGAAGTTATCTACTGGCACTTCAGCATATTAACTGGAGAAAGAATAATAACACTAAATTCCTCCCATCAAGAGCTCCCCATCAAACACCGCATTGACTTTAAAATATTACTTTTCACTTTCAAAGCCCTCAACAACCTTGCCCCCCCCGTCGCCTCAGATGTTAGCTGAAGCTAACCTACTGCAGCCCATCAGGACAAAGCTCCAGACCTAGGGTGACAGGGCCTTCGCAGCAGCCTCCCCCACTCCCTCTCCAGCCACGTCAGATCCGTCAACATCATTCAAACAATCTCTCAAAACTCACCTTTTCACTCTTGCCTTCAACTCCTAATCAACTAACCCTTTCTCTTATTCCACCTAGCTTAGCACTTTCTACTTTTGTTGTTATTTTTGTTTTTACTTGCTTGTAAGCGCTTTGAGGACCAGAAGCACTTTATAAATGTAATGTATTATTAAATTAAAATAGCCTACAAACAGTGTATTCTCAAAGGATTGAAGCATTGGCTACTTATTTCTTGATATGTTGTGCATTAAGCATTCTGTTATTAATGTTTTCAATAATGTACTATCATCCCAAGGACCGCTTGTGGGCTGCTTCTGTGTATTTCAATCAGGAGAGACTTCATTTTGTTTAAAGAACATTTATTGACACATGCCATACGTTAAATGTTAAGTCTCGATTAGACCCCGATCCTGAAATGGTATATCGAAAGGGGGAAATGCAGCTGTGAGCATATAGGGAACCCCTCCGGGGTCTAGTCACTGGTGGTGATGCTGAAGATCTGGATTTGATGAGGAGATGGGATGAAGAGGGGGTGTGATGAGGTCTTTGGATTAGCTCTCCTGGCACTGGATGTGATGAAAGGAGGTGGATGAGGAGGAGGCGGGCGGAAGCATGAACACCTGAAATCACAGCTGACTGCCATTTTAAAGTTTGGCTGCAGCACAGTGATTGGCTGCTGGAGAATGAGGTGAATGTAATATGTTAAAGAGAACGCCTGTGATGAGCTGATTATATGCAGCTGCGGAGTGAATGTATATATACAGTATATATATATATATATATTATATATACCCCGTCTTCCTGAAAGAATTTGCGCTCAGCTTCATTTTACATCAATATGCAATTCACCTGTGAAATTAATTGCCAGTGGCCATAAAACAATGCATACAGGGATCCTTCAAGTCAAAAAAATGTTAAGTCTGTTGCACTTTATTAATTCCATACAAACACCAAAACATTTATTGTTTTGTTTGGCAATGGGATTTGCATGGGGTGGGAATCAGGCTGCTTGCCAGGATGGAGGCCAGCCCATACCACTGAGAAAGAAATAAAATAAAGGGAGGGTGAAGAAGAATTAGTGAGCAGTAATACACATTCAATTGATTTTCATTAGGCTACTGTAACATTTGTATACTGTTTTATAAACGTTTGAAGACAAGTGCAGTGTTGTATGAAGTATTTGGTATTCCACTGTATGGATGCAGCGATTAACCAATGTCACTTTTAACAGTTCAGCTACACTGAGTGTTTTTGTTCTCACTCTCTAAAAAACGACATTATGGTATGTTAAGGTTCATTACAGCAACTGTTGCTCATTGGAAAATATGGAAAACGGGTTAATCGTGTTAACAAAGGTAAAAAGGCACAGTAGCTGAAAATGCCAAAATGTTGTGGAAAAATCCTATAAAACCTCTAATTATAAGTACACATTCATCCATCCTTAGTGTAATAATTGTAAAACCCAAAGGTGATGTTTCCTCAGACTATTATCATAGCATCAAAATGTAAAATCATTGCATCCCTAGAGCCTTACAGCACAACATTTCAAGTGAATAATAACTCCTCCAACAGGCACATTGTATTCTAAGATAAGGGATAAAATAGCATTTGATAGATAACAAACAGTCTATAGATCCCCTTGGGGAAATTATATCATGATGCGTTTGTTACGTTACAATTTTATCTGCCCAATAATAGGGTACCGATATATTTCCCTTTGTTGTAGTTTACGGTTTCACCACTTGATTGTCATCACTGTTGTTAATTTGCACTATCTGTAGATGAATGTCTAATCATAATTCTTTGACCTAGTTCCTTTACATTTCTGTTGTTGTTTGGTGATTATTTACTAATACTTTAGTAAGTGTGGACTTAACGCCAGAGTAGCTAACGTGAACCTGGTGTCTCTGTGGTGTAATCAAATATTGACACAGCTTTAATTAAATAAACTACCTAGTTTCAATGTATCGTTTAGTGTGGACTTTGCACATTTAAAATAACTTGTGTATAGCTGGTGCTACAGACAGCAGAACTTTTTGCATTTTTCTTTAACAAATGCCACCTAAGATAATGGCATGCCAACAATTACCACAAATGTACACATAGATGTAATTGTACAAAAGCCAATTAACATACCAAATGGTGCAGGGCTCCCAGTCATAAAGGTGCTCCGTCCCCCCTGTGGTAGGCAGACAAAGACATTGTACATCTGTATGTTATTTGAACGTTGTACTTTCACAAGTACTTATAATATATGTATTGTTCAAATAGTTTGCATATATTTAAAAAAATAGTCATGAAAAAAGACATCTGACCGACTAGAGGGATTTACAGGATGTTTACACAAATAGCTTAATATTGTGAATTGGACAACAGCATTCCTTCAAGGTAAGATAAAGTCATTGCTATACAAATTCAGAAAAGTTATCCAACAGCAAACACTGTCATCCAGGTAATCATTATCCTACCTTTCGGTTCCTTGTCTTTATTATGTTGCGGACAGGGAACACCTCCAGATGGT